CCCAAAGTAAGAGAGGGTCGTTTTTCGGGCTCCTTTCCGACTCAAAGAAATAGTAAAAGTATTGTACGTCATCATTTTTCCCTACCGAAATGTAACTTAAAGCACATTTTTTTGACAGTTAGTATAATAATAATAATAATAATAATAATAATAATAATAATAATAATAACAAACAACATGTATTAAATAAAACATATAAATTCAAGAGCATGACTATACCCAGTTTCAAATAGGAAAGGAAGATCACCAGAAAAACCTGGAAGCGTTTTCACCAGATATCCTGATTTAGTTACCTCTAAAGAAACTACCACCATCAACAAGCCAAGCAACATCACATTGTTGGACTTACGATGGAAGTGCCAAGGTTGAATATGATATTGAGAACTAGCTTTCATGTTTCGTCTAAGAAAAAACGAGAGAGATATGCTAAGCAAATAATGTGCATCCTCCTTATCATTATATATAATTGTAAAATGATTATTTTACATTATACAAGAAAACGTGAACTTTGACAAAAAAATGTTTCTTATTTTAAAAATATCAAATATGGTGCAATAAAAGTTTTATTGAAAGTGCATTCTTTGACTATCATCAGAATTGATTCACTTTATATATATATATATATATATTAATATATATATATATATATATATATATATATATATATATATATATTAGTTTATAACCCGTGGGAACCATGGTTATAAAATTAATTAAAATTTTCTAATAAAAACTCAAAATTATTGATCAATTATTTTAAATAAATTACTAATTAAGAGATATTTTTATTAGTTATGTGAAATTATAAACGTTGATTCAAATAAATATGTAAAATTAATTTTCAATATATATTAGACATTTTTTATTTGTGAATTAATAAAAACAATTATATAAAATTTAAAAGTTAAAATAGAGAAATCAATACATTGAAAAATAGCATTAATGAGGAGGTCTAATAAATTTAAAATTAAGAACTAATAGATTGATAAGTGACAATACATTAATTAATAGGTCTAATATGATGACATATGACAAAAGAACTACTCTTTTATTAGTATATATATATATATATATATATACACACACACACACACACA